TTTCATCCTTTTATTCATACTTAGAGGGTCTTTGTTTCTTTCGGGTCTCTCGGGTATTATGGTCTTTGGCTAGTGCTAAGCACTATCGGTGTTTTCTTTACATGGTATCAGAGCCATTCTGATCTGGTTCTTTTATCTCGGATTTATTCTAAGTATGGAGTCAATGGGTCGCGTTGTTGGATTGGAAATGGAGATTCTAAACCAATCTAATTATCGGTTATGGAAGTCATGCATGGAGTCATACTTGGTGAGTGGGGACTTATGGGATGTCGTCGGCGGCAGTAGCACAACACCACCAAGGGGAGCTGCTGCGACAGCAGAAGCGACAAAGGAGTGGACACGGAAGAATGTCAAGGCGGAGTTTGCATTGAAGAGGTCAATATCCTCAGGAATCTTTAAGCATGTCTCAAGTTGCACATCCGCTAGTTCCATTTGGCAGGCGTTAGATCAGTTGTTCAACAAGAAGAATGAAGCTCGGCTACAACTGTTAGAGAACGAGCTGGCGAATGCAAAGCAGGGGGAGTCTTCAATCTCAGAGTTTTTCATCAAGGTAAAGAATCTTCGCTCTGAGATTAATACTCTAAATCCGGAGGAGTCAATTTCGGAAGCACGTTTGAAACGATATATTATTCGAGGTCTACGACCTGAGTATACACCGTTTGTGACTTCGGTTCAAGGATGGGCTACACAACCTTCTTTGGAGGGGTTCGAGAACCTGCTAGCTTCGCAAGAGTCATTAGCTACGCAAATGGCAGGAGTCAAAATCCATGATGACTCGGGGAGCGCCTTTGTAGCTTGGAAGCAACAGAACTTCAAAGCCAAATCCAAGTACGATGGTGCAAAGAACATTGATAGACTGGAAGGATCTTCTACAGGAGATAAGAAGCGATTCAAGTGCTACCGGTGTGGAAAGCTTGGGCACTTCAAAAAGGATTGTCGAGTCAAGCTTAAGGAGACAAATATGGCAGAATCAAAAGGTCATATTGAAGACGAAGAATGGGGGAATGCTTCATGGTGGAGGCTGCATCTTCAGGTATATCCACAACTAAAAATCTTGGAAATGATTGGATTGTGGATTCGGGTTGTAGCCACCATATTACCAGAGACGAGAAGCTATTTTCTAGTCTTCAGCGCCATGACAGAAAAGAAGCCATAATTACCGCGGATAATTCAGTTCCCCGGGTCAAGAAGGAAGGGACTGTTGTCATTGAAGGAGATGATGGAAGCCATATCACTCTCAAGAATGTATACCATGTCCCTGGAGTAAGGAAGAATCTTCTCTCTGTGGTGAATGCAGTAGACTCGGGTAACTACGTTTTATTTAGCCCAAGAGACGTCAAATTCTTGAAGAATATTAAAGAGTTAAAGGCGGATGTGGTTCACACCGGATCGCGGGTTAAGGATCTATATGTCTTATCTGCGTCCAACTCATACGTCGAGAAGATGAGTACAAACGACAATGCCTCTATATGGCATGCTCGGCTTGGTCATATAAACATGACTAAGCTAAAGGTTATGGTGAATAAGGAGTTGGTAAATGGGCTTCCGAAGCTGAAGATCCAAGATGAAGAAAAGCTTTGTGAAGGTTGTCAATATGGAAAATCACATAGACTTCCATTTTACAATTCTACTTCACGGTGCAGTGCTCCGTTGGAGAGGATCCATAGTGATTTGATGGGTCCTACAAGAACACCCTCATATTCCGGGTTTCGGTACATGCTGTTGTTCATTGATGACTTCTCACAGCACACTTGGATATACTTTGTGAAGGAAAAATCAGAAGTATTCTCCAAGTTACAAGAATTCAAGGTTACCGTGGAAAGGGAGCTGGGTTAGAGAATCAAGACCTTAAGGACGGATAATGAAGGGGAGTTCATGTCCAAGGAGTTTCTCTCTTTTTGTCAAAAGCATGGAATAAAGAGAGAGTTTACTTGTCCGTATACACCTCAACAAAATGGAGTAGCGGAAAGGAAGATCCAACATCTAACTGAGACGTGCAGAAGCTGGCTATATGGGAAGGATCTGCCTATGGCCCTGTGGGCAGAAGGCATGAGATGCGCAGCGTACGTTATAAATCGGATGCCACTCAGCCCAAATAACATGAAGTCTCCTTATGAAATGATTCATGGGAAGAAGCTGTCAGTGAAACATCTCAGGATATTTGGATCAGTCTACTACGTCCATGTGTTCGATTCTCAAAGAACCAAGTTGGAGGCAAAGGCGAAGAAGTGCATCTTCGTTGGCTATGACGAACAAAGAAAAGGGTGGAGGTGTATGGATCCAGAGACACACAGGTATGTAGTGTCTCGAGATGTTGTTTTTGATGAAGTTTCCTCATTCTATGGGCCACCTCAAGTCTTAGTTGAGCAAATAGGTGGGAGTTCCTCCAAGAGTGATAAACCAGCTCTGAGTAAGGACATACGTCCTGAAGAAGAGATGCAAGGTGAAAGGGGGAGCACTGATCAAGAGGAGGATGAGGAGAAACATCATGGTTCCACGCCTAGTCAAAGGCCTAAAAGGGACATCATTAAACCTGCTCGGTTCAGAGATCCAAAGTTCGTTACTACCTTCTCGTGCTACTTTGCAGCTCCATTAGATGAAGATGAGCCAACATCTTATGATGAAGCAAAAGGTGTTGACGAGTGGGAAACCGCAATGAAGGAGGAGATGAATGCTCTCATGAAGAACGAAACTTGGAATTTGGTTCCAAAAGCCAAGGATGCCCAACCTGTTTCTTGTAAATGGGTGTACCGGATCAAGCGCAAAACAGATAGAAGCGTTGATAGATACAAGGCAAGGTTGGTTGCTCGGGGATTCTCTCAAAAGTATGGAGAAGACTATGATGAGACCTTCATCCCTGTAGCCAAGATGACTACGGTACGCTCTCTCTTATCTTTGGCTGCAAGTTTTGGTTGGAAGTTATGGCAATTAGACGTGAAGAATGCTTTTCTATATGGAGAGCTTGACAAGGAAATCCTGATGGAGCAACCACTTGGTTTCATATCACGAGAGCATCCTGATTATGTGTGTAAGCTGAAGAAGGCCTTGTATGGGTTAAAATAAGCTCCACGAGCCTGGTATGGAAAGCTTGCTCAGTTTCTTCAGTTCTGCGGTTATGTGGCATCAAACTCTGATCCGAGTCTATTCTTCAAGAAAAATGGAGGAATCCACGTGGTAGTTCTCCTTTACGTGGATGATATGATAATTACCGGGAATGATGATGCAGAAATTACTCGTTTACAAGAGGATATGATGATAAGGTTTGATGAAGAAGTTGGGAGAGCTCAACAACTTTCTCGGTTTGGAGGTAGAAAGGGTAAAGGGTGGAATATTCATTGGCCAACAAAGCTATGCAAGAAGAATTGTTGAGAAGTTTGGAGTACACGAAGGAAAGACACGCTCTACTCCAATTGACGTCAACATAATGCTTAAACGTTATGAAGGGTCCTTGCTACCTGATCCTCGGCCTTATCGCTCTCTTGTAGGAAGTCTTTTATACTTAACCATTACAAGACCTGACATTGCCTTCGCGGTAGGTCTTGTAAGTCGGTTTATGCAGGCACCAAGGAAACCACATCTAGAAGCGGCAAAGAAGATATTGAAGTATGTGAAGACAACTCTTGGCATGGGTCTGGTGTACAAGTATAATGCCAAGGTCTCTCTTTATGGCTTCACGGATGCTGACTTTGGTGGAGATCTTGATGATCGGAAATCAATTTCAGGCTATGTGTTCCTATGTGAGGACACAAGTGTCTCATGGTGCAGTAAGAAGCAAGCAACGGTGTCGTTATCTACAACTGAAGCAGAGTATAAAGCTTCAACTCTAGCAGCTCAAGAGTGTATTTGGCTTCGGAGACTCCTTGAAGATCTGTTTGAGCCAATCAATAAGCCAGTTGCAATTTATGGAGATAATCAAAGTGCGATCAAGCTGGCCAATAATCCGGTGTTCCATGGGAGGACTAAACACATTGAGTTAGAGCATCACTTCATAAGGGAGAAGGTGCTTGATGGGACAATTGAAGCTTTAGAAGTTCGAAGCGAGGACAACGTTGCGGATATCTTCACCAAGTCATTACCAAAAGGTCAGTTCGAGTTACTTCGCTCGAAGCTCGGGATGGCTGATAAAATCAAGTTTAAGGGGGAGTATTGAAGTTAAACTTGATTTTGAGTTAAATTTAATTTTGGGTTTATAAAATAATTATTAGTTATTAGATTAGGCCCAAAATTAAGCCCAAGTTCTAGAATCTCTAGAAACATCACTAAGTAGGAGTTATTGGTTTTTGTATTTTGGTGGATTTATAAATCTTCTTTGGATTTGATAAATTTATTGATTTCAAAATCAGCAAAATGGAAAAAAATCAAATCCACTCAAATACCAAGGTTAGACCTTGTATTTGGATCTTTGTATTTTAGTCATAAAAATCCTTTCAAATCCATTCAAATTCAATTAAAACTCAAATCCTTATAATATTTAGATTCTAAAATGATAGAACCAATAACACTGTATTTCATTATGGATTTTAAAATCATAGAACCAATAACACTGTATTTCAATATAAATTTTAAAATACAAGAACCAATAACACTGAATTTGGTTTGGATTCTCAAATCCATTAAAATACAAGAACCAATAACACCTCCTAAATATCTAGATAATTCTATAGATAATTCTAGATATTGTAGTTAAAAATCTAGATATTGTTGTAGAGAATTCTAGAGATTAGGAGAATGTTTGTAAAATATTTTGTAATAAGTGGAGCCTATAAATAGCCCACTACTCCATCAATTGTAAACAAGAGAAGTTGAACAAATAAAGAAAGAGTGTTCTTCATAAATTCTCTTATTCTCTCTAAAGTTCTTTCAAGTTTTTTCTAAGTGTTCTTTCATCCTTTTATTCATACTTAGAGAGTATTTGTTTCTTTCGGGTCTCTCGATTATTACGGTTTTGGGCTAGTGTTAAGCACTATCGGTGTTTTCTTTACATTTTCAAGAATTAGAAGTCTACATATAAGTTGGAAACATAAAGAAAACCTTTTATTTTTTTGGTCTACAAACTAAACAGAGTATATAGAGCCATGGCTTTGGCAATATGTGAGATTGTTTGGCTTGTTCCATTGTTCTTCATCTTCCGGATGCATCTCCAAACAATTGACCACGCAGTAAAATGAGATTCTTTTAAGGAATTTACAATTTATAACACTAATAAAATTATTAAAGTGTTTATATATAAACATGCATTCAGTTTTCTCAGCATGTATGTAACCATCTCCAAGTCAAGAACTAAATCTGCATGTTCGAAAATAAAGATGGAGTTCGAGAAACAGGAATGCAATTAAGGGGATGAGCCATGGTCAAGACCAATGCTCTAGGAGCCTCTTCCATATTAACTTTGTCTCCCTTGATTTTCCAATCAAAGCACTGCACCATCACTCCTATTGCTGTTCCTAGAAAGATGTACGCTAGGTTTACTCCAGGACAGCCTCTCCTTCCACCGCCAAAAGGAATATACTTAAACGCGTGCTCTCTCTCATCTTCTTCTCCTGATCTCGACGAATCAAGAAACCTCTCCGGCTTAAATTCATTAGGATCTTCCCAAGAATCAGGATCTCTCATCACAGCATAAGCACTAACAACAAGCGGCGTGTTCTCCGGTACGTAAAAACCTCTGATCCTAAATCCTTCTCGGGAGGTCCTTGCAAAGAGAGCCCCTGGTGGGTGCAGTCTCAGCCCTTCTTTAACCACAGAACTCAAATAAGGGAGCTTTGGTATATCTGTTTCTTGAATCAACCTTGTCTTCCCTACCACGGTATCGATTTCTTCTCTCAATCTCTCAAGAACTTTAGGATTATTAATAATCTCTGCCAATGTCCATTGTGTTGCATGTCTCGAAGTGTCAGTGCCTGCGACGAGTAGATCCTACAATCGCAAAAAAAGTAACAATTAATGGTTTTCTTTTGGATTCAAGACGAATCCACCTAATAAAATATAGATTCGTTTACCACGAACAAAGACTTGATGTGGTTCCTAGTGAACTTATACTCTGTGTTTTTATCTCGGTAAGATGCTAACAGCTTGTCCAACAAGTCCATATCGTGATCCTCCTCCAGTTTCTCTTCGTGTTCCTCAAGAATCTTCTCTAGCACCTCATCGAATCTGCAAGAAACACCCATTATCTCCTTTTTAAACAATGAGATTCCTAGCTTCTTAAGGGGTTTATGAAACATGTTCGCCACAAAAATCTTCATTGTCAAGGCAGTCGACTCGGTCACCAAGTCTCTTACTCTCTCTGCCTCACCATTCTCCTCGGAAAGATTCCTCCCCATGATCATCTTGCATACGGTGTTGTTGGTGAGCTTCATTGCTTCCATAGCAATCTCAACGCTCTCATTCTTCATTGCTTTATCGAGAAGGCTCATGTAGAACCGTCTTAGCTCATCTGCACGGATTCCTCGTGACCGGTCGAGTGCATGCAGTCCGAGAAACTTCTTGACGATCAGCTTCTTCATGAACTTCCAATAATCTCCATAAGGAGCAGTGAAAAATCCGGAAGATCCGACCAAGAGAGACTCATATATCGGAGGGTTGCCACGAAACGAGATGTTGATATCATGCGCCCTGAAGATCTCGTAGGCCACTGAGGCCGAGGAAACAAAGATTACAGGGACATTGAAGATTCTAAGATGGAGAAGAGGTCCATACTTGGAGGAGAGTTTCTGTAAGGACTTATGGGTTAAAGAAGAGAGAAGAAAGTGAAGATGACCAATGATTGGCAAAGAAGGAGGGCTTGGAGGCAATTTAAAGCCATCCTTTGGTTTCTTGAAGAAGAAAGAGTAACAAATGAGTAAAAAGAGGCATGTGATAATTAAGATGAAAGTGGTCATTGTTCTCAAGATGAGGAAGGAGCTGAAACAGAGTATACTCTTATGCTCTGTTTTGTACAAAGAAACGTCAATAATGCAACGCTGAAGTGTTTTTTAATTTTTCTAATAATAAAATATGTAAGGATCAGAAGTTCCTTGGGACACTCGTGATCACATTAATCAGTCAATAACTGTGTTATGAATCTTTAACCTCCACGGTGACAACTGACAACTCAAGTTCCACGTGTATCTTATGAGAATGGAACCAAAATATTTCGATCAATATGCATTTAATTTTGACAGTCCTCTTCCTCTAAACCAGAAATGTGCATGTGAAAATATAAAATTAATAAAATATTTCGAGTTTCAAGTCTTTTGAAACACTTCCTCTGTTAAAAAAGAAAAAGTGTTACATAAATTAAGAAAAGAAGTTAAAAATCTCTTATATCCTCAATAATACTCAAACAAATTAATAGGGAAGTCTCTCAAACTATCGTTCCTTTGTACTCTCTTTTAGTTAAGTGTCAATTAAGATCTTTTTTAGATCAAAATAATTTTACAATTAATTTAAAATTTTAGAGGCAAATTATTTGTCTAAAAATTTCTAAAACAACGTTAGATTAGCTAAAAAAACTGGAGTCAAAATTTGTAATGGAGGCAATCAAACGAAGTTTAAAACATTTGGGAGTTTATATATTAGATCATCTAGACTTTCCAAATACTCCATCTCTGATCGATTCTTTTTGATTTCAACTTTTCACCTACAACAAATTAAAAATATTGGTCGTTTGATCTGAATATTCTACTGACAAACAGTAATGATTATGCTCCTCAAAGCAGAAGATTTTATTGATGATTTTATTGATGATGCTGAACCAGTTCATCTAAACGAAGAAACGAATACTGAGGATGGAAATCAAAACCATAATAGTCAGAGGCGGATCTAGCATATTAGTGGGAGGGGCATTTGCCCCCTATGAAAATTTTAAAATTAGTTAAATTTTCTAATGATTTTTAGATATGCCCCTGCTGTTAAATTATGTTTTGCCTCTCACCTTTTTTATTTCATCATACAAGCTTGCTGGATTTTTTTTTCTTCTCAGCACTATTCTCTTTCATGATGGATCTGATTGGTGTGCATTAGAAAAATTGAAAGGAATTAAAAATAATGTAATTAAGAAGAAAAGAAAAGTTATTATTAGAAGAATTTTTTTTTTTTTTTGAATGTGTGCTTTTAGATAGAATAAATTTTTCAACTTGGTTTGGGTGGAAGGAAAATTTCCACACCTTTTTACTGATTTCAGAAAATAATTTTTTCTTCTGTTTTTTTTTCTTTGTGATTGGTTAGACCATATGTCTCTTACTTCACATTATTCTAGGAGATTTTTTTTTTAAAATTTTTAAGAGCTGACTATGATATTGTTCCATCGCAAAAATATATTCATTTGTTTATATTTTTTTCTATAACATAATAAGATCATGTGTCATTGTTTCTCTCTTCTTATTTTTTTCTCAGCCCTATTCTTTTTCATTATACCTTTTACTCCACATTATTTAAAACGATTTTCAAAACTTTTAAGAGCTGATTGTGACATTGTTTATAGATTAATTTCTTTATGTTTTCTTTATGGCTAGATGAACAGAAAACCATGTATTATTTGCTTTTGTGAAAAAATAGATTTTTAATAATATGCCGCAAATAAATAATGTGCTTCCAGTCTTACGCTCATCTTGCCAAATATTTTGTTTGAAATTTTAGTTATATTAAATTACTAGGAGAAGGTTTTTTTCTCATCTATAAACAATTATTTTTCATCTAACAAACAGAAACAAAATCAGTAAAGTCTTTTTTCAAAACCAACTCTGATATGCAGCCACGTGACATCTAAAAAACTAACATGTGTCATTTTTTTTATAATCTCTATTAATTTTTTTTTCATTAAACAATCACAGAAAAATGCTTCAGTTTTTTTTCTCTTCTACAAATGATTATTTTTCATCTAACAAACAAAAGGAAAAATCAATAAGGTTTTTTTTTTCATAAACAACCGTGATATGTTGTCGCGTGGCATCTTAGAAATTGACATGCGTCATTTTTTTCCTATTTCTATTTTATTCATGTTTATCGAACAAATATAAAAACAATGTCTCAGTTTTTTCTTCTTCTCTACTAGATATTTTTTTATTATATCTCCTATTTCACATTATTTAGATTTTTCTAACTTTTAAGAGATGACTATGTCATCGTTTTTGTCTGGAAAAATATATTAATTTCTTCATGTTCTCTTAGTGGCAATCAAAAAAAAAGTCATGCACTATTTGCTTTCATAAAATCTTTTTACATTAAGGCCTTACTACTTACTTTCCTACTCTTCGAACCTCAAACTGCCATTACTATCACAATATGTATTTTATTCTCGAGAACTTTCTTTTTGGTCATTCCCAATGACAGCATCACTTCTCTAATAGGTTCAAACTAAACACTATTATTTCACCAATCTTTTCAAACAAAATTTAAAGAGTATATACAACTTAAAAACTAATATTTACCGATCAAATTTACTAACAAATATAATAAAATTGATTATAAAATTCAAATAGTTAAAATATCACAAATCCGCGCAACGCACGGACTTTCTCCTAGTTTTCAATATTTTTGAACATCACAAAACGATTATCAATCAACTGAAACTAAAAAAAATGTTACAAATGGTCAAAGGTGGGCAATTTATAATGCTTTGTTGGAAAGGAGCAACAATGGACATTCGAAGAAAAAAAACTACAACAAGAGAAGTATTTGAATTGTTCTCGATTCATCTTCGGATGGTGCAAAGAATCTGGGAATGAGCTAAAAAGACTCCCATTGGTGCATCAGTTGATGTATCTGAAAGAAAGACAAAAAAAAAATCTTGTCGTAAGAGAGTTCCGATTGACTTACAACAGATGATATTCCTCTTCACCAGCGAACAACTTTGAGATCATTGGGAGAATCACTTGGGGTAAGTTATGCATCGCTACATAGACGTGTGAAAGAAGGTATTTTACGACGTCACACTAATGCATTGAAACCACATTTGAAAGAGGAAACTAATATAGCACGTCTACGATTCTACCTATCTATGTTGGATCAACACAGTCTGCCTCAAGAGCCAAAATTTATTGATATGTACAGTATCGTACATACTGATGAAAAATAATTTTGTATGACAAAGAAGTCTGAAATTATTATCTACTTCTGGATAAAGACGAATCATTGTGGGCAATATAAAATAGGAACTTCATTGGAAAAGTTATGTTTTTAGTTGCCATGGCTTGTCTAAGGTTTGATACTGCAGGTAACGAATTATTTTTGGGAAAGATTGGATTACACAAAGACGTAGCAGAAATAGAGAGGCGAGGTGATGGAGACCAAAGCTATTTCTTCCATGAAAAGGGTACACATAAGGGACGGTTTAATCAAACGAATTATTCCCAACATTCACAAAAGGTGGCCAATTGAAGATTTAGGGAAACTTATATTCAGTCAACAAGACTGTTGCTGATTGGTCGTGGATCTGATCTCCGGTCTCCTCGCAAATAAGAACTCTCTCTCTCTCCTTCACTCGTTTGATTTGAATAGAAACTTGAGAAAAGAAAAGATGAATCACACGATAGAAACACAGTTTATAGAGTTCCCCAAAACTCTGGATACATCTCTCTTCAGGTGTTAACCCGGAATCCACTAATGCTCTTTGTTCGTGCTTTTACAGAGAATCGCTCAGAGTACAACAATGGCATAACAGAATCAAGAAGAAGAAGAAGACTAAGTCAATAACTTAAATACACAGCTCCTTCTCTTATCCTTGAGCGCGATCCATTTGGGCCAGAAACAAACAAGCGAGGCCCAACTATCTCTGTCTCCTCTGTACACGCAACACCATTTGGGCCTTAGTTGCCAAAGGCCCAACTCCAGCTAAAGAATGCAGACCTACGTCTCACAAATCTCCACCTAGGTCTTCATTGAGACAAAACCATGTCCGAAATGCCGAAACGAGCCCGTGAACTCTGATCCTGGAACCGGTGACTCCTTGACCCGAGATCACCACCTTGCTGCCTTTCCTTCACTGGAAAAACCATCTGCAAAGCTCCGAAGAAACCTTCCAGAGTCGCTCCTATTGTCACAGAACACATGCGACAACAACTTTGGAACCGCCGCCTTCTCAACTCACCGACGACGGCGAATCCGACGAAGCGTTCAAGCTCCGATCATGTTCAGCGTCTTCAAGCATCCACTGAACTTCTCTCCAGGTAAAACCTTCGTCAACATATCAGCTGGGTTTACCGAAGTGTGAATCTTCAAAACTTGCACATCTCCATCATCGATCACTTCTCTGATATAGTTTTACTTCACCTTAATGTGATTAGTCCGTTCGTGGAACATATGATTCTTAGCTAGGTAGATAGCGCTTTGTGAATCACAGTAGATCTCGACTACTTCCTGCTTGAAATCCATTTCCTCACAAATGCCTTTTAACCAAACTGCTTCTCTGCTTGCTTCTGACAGTGCGATGTACTCCGCCTCCGTTGTGGAAAGAGCCACCACCTTCTGAAGCTGAGACCTCCAGCTAATCGTGTTTCCACCAACGATGAACACATATCCCAGTATAGATCTTCTTCTGTCCAAGTCTGAGGCGTAGTCTGAGTCGCAATATCCTCTCACCTTGATGTTTTGACCCTTCGTGAAAGTTAAGTTTACTCCTGCTGCTCCTTTCAAGTACCTCATTATCCACTGAACTGCTAACCAATGCTCTGTTGCAGGTTTACCCATGTACATGCTCACCAAGCCAACTGCGTATGCAAGATCAGGCCTGGATCCCACCATTGCATACATCAAGCTCCCCACAGCACTCGCATATGGTATGTCTTCCATCTCTTTAGCTTGTGCGTGTTCTTGCTCTTCTATAATGGCTTGTAATTTGAAATGTGACCCATAGGCGTAGACACTTCTCTACTGTCCCATATTCCAAATGTCTTTATGACTTTCTTTAGGTAGTCTTCCTGAGATAGCACTAGGATTCCCTTCTCTCGGTCTCTGAATATATCCATCCCTAGGATTCTTCTAGCTGGAACCAAGTCCTTCATCTCAAACTATGTGCTTAGCAGCTTCTTTAGTTTATCCA